TTCATGCTTGAAGAAATCATAAAGTTTAGATGAAATGGAACCATTTTTATGGTTTTACCTGAGGCTGAGGTTCAGCTTCTGACCTTTAAAGGAGAGAATGTGAGATTTATTAACTCCGATGTATAAAATTTTTGAATGAGATAAAAAAAACGTTTAGATAAACCTAAAGTCTGCTGTGCTGCTCATCCTATTCTATATAAGAAGCTGTTATGGGGTGCACGTTTATAATTAAACACCTTCCTGCTTCATGTCAGACTTTAGGGTTCATTTCAAGATCCTGGTTCTGGTCTATAGGGCCTTACATGGACAAGCACCATCTTACATTGGTGATCTTCTTAGTCCCTACACCCCCAGCAGGTCCCTGAGGTCCAGCGATCAAAGCCTACTGCTTGTGCAGCACCAGGCTAAACACCAAAGGTGACAGATCATCTGCTGCTGTGGCCCCAGACTCTGGAACTCTCTCCCCCTGAGCCTGAGATCAGTGGACTCAGTGGTCTCCTTTAAAAAGCAGCTGAAGACTCACTTGTTCAAGCTGGCTTTTGTATGACCTTCTTCACCCCTCTCTCTTTATTCTGCTCTCCCCACCTATTCCACCTTCCTCAGGATCCACTGATTTCCCTCTTTCCTGTTCACTCTCCCTCTCTTTCTTAACATTTTTTCTTTTAAATCACAATTGCTTATTTTTGCTCATTTTAAATATATTTTAAACATTTTCTAAATGCTTTTTTATATTTTTACAATGTTTTTATTTTTTGTTTTGTTTTTGTGAAGCGCCTCGTGATTTTTATCTTGAGAGGCGCTATAGAAATTATATTTTTTTCTTCTTCTTCTTTAGTCACATGGCGTCTGTCTGCTTCTGTCTCTCCATTTTTTCCTCAGGTGTCAAAAGTGTTTGCTTGTAATGATGCAGCGAGCTTCAGCAGTTTCTGTCAGGCAGGTGGACAACTTCAGGTCAGCTTTCCCCCATAAACCAGCAAACTCCTTCCAGAGTAAATATCCTCCTGTAACGCTGAGACATGTGGTTCATGTTTGTTTTGTTGCAGGTTGTGGAGGTGACATGTAGAGGAAACAAGGCCGTGAACAGAAGGTAAGAAAACGTCTGGATGTGTTTTAGGGGCTGGGTTATACTTTACTGTAATCACATGACTCATGAATACTTCTGCTTGTAGCCGGTCCAGCTGCAGCGTGCTACTGATTCTGAGCCGTGCTGTGTCCGTGTGCGATCTGCGAAGAGCTGCAGAATCTGCAC